CCTAGAGCCTTCCAGTCATAATAAACTTTTTTATATTATCATGAGAATATGTAGAGTGCTGATATCTATTTGGAATTGCAATTTCTTTATTAATCTTTTTTCAAATCTTAACTAACTTTTAAGGGGGGACACTGGCTAGAGGTCGAACTTCTTAACTACTCAAGTGATTGGAATGAAATTTAGAGGGGAGATTTAATGTCAGATGTAGGTGTTCTGTGCAAACTTTCAGCTCTCCAGGACAACTTTACATACCTGCATAAGAAGATGTGTCACTCTTTGTTAAGAAATCTATGATATGCAAATGAAGCTATTAAGCACCATTTTGACTGCCAGAATATAAAGCGGGGGATGCGGCACTTCGGGCTACATAGTTTTTATAACTCGAATGTAAATATTTCAGGAAGAGTGATTACCTCAAATAATGAGATGCAAATCTGTCCTATGTCAGTTTTTGAAAACTTGTTTTCTTTTATCACTGAGGACTTCAGCTTAAAACAAAATAAAGTAGATAGCCCGATTCCCCAGTAAATTTCAGTTCAGAAACATCTTGATTGTTTTATCGGAACACTTTCACCTTCGAACAGAAGATTCCTTCGTATGAAATTTGCAGCAAAAAGTGGAACTGAGAAAAATGCATCCAAACATTGAAACTTCTTTACTTTGTTACTGCCTCACAATGTGTTGCAAATATTTTATATCAACGGAAATATTTGGCATATGGTTATCAAATTTGGTGTAAGGGTGTATAATTAGTTTCTAAAACAAAACGCCAAAATTGAAAAATGAATTTTTTCAAAAAAATTTGAAATTTAGGCCCATGTCCCTCCTTAAAGGGCTTAGAACTTCTAAAGGATTTAAAACCACCCTGTTGCATACCCGAATGCCTCAAACGACTCACTTGAAGAGTAGAAAGAGACAGCAAAAAGCAATTAAAAGAAGATTATATAAAAAAAAAAAAGCAAAAGGGAAGGGGTGGTATGCTGCACGTAAAAAACACATGCACGCAATAATTTAATGCCATTTGCGTTCAGGGCTCTGGGTGTTTGGCGTCCCGGTGACCGTCGCCACACTGTCGCACTCGTGGCTTTGTCCCTTGGTGCCTCCAAATTTTGCCACCGTGAAACCATACATTTTTTTATTTTTATTTTTATGCTTTTTTTTTAGTATTGTTTATCATCAAAATAAAACAAAACACACACAGACACAAAAGAAAAAGCTCTTATTCTTTTGGCATAATTAGATGCTCCTTTTCATCTTACAATGTACTGAGACAAACAATAAGGACTACCCAAGCCAATCCATAGCTTGGAGCTGATCACGTGACTTTGCGCTCTCTGCGTCACTTCGCCCAACTGAAATGACACGCAAAGTGTCTTCTAAGCTATGGATTGTCTTCGGTGGCTTGTAGCATCCTTTACGATCCATTGTACGGTGAAACAAAACATAGAAGTGTATGCCTCCACACCGACTTGCCGACGCCAAGTTGTGTTGCACAAAGATGTGAAATATGACTTTTTTTGTTTTAGTATTTTTTTTAGCTTTCTCCATGCCACCGTTATTCATTCGCTCAACACTGTGGAACTGACCCCACCATCACAAATATTTATTTGATTTGTGCTGCCACCGTCAAAAAGGCGCGGCTCACACTTTATTAGGCCGAGCCATTTTTCGGTGAACCGGTAACCGCTAAATGACATTACGGCTTTGTTCCGATTTTGGTTCAATACCAAATGTTTGATTCCAGTGCCGACTTTGTTCTTGTTTGTTCAGAAAGAACAGTTTTGCTCCGAATTCGGTTTGGGTTTGGTTTGACACCTTGGCTTAAAGGACACGTGCAAATGAAAAAAACATTTTTTTAAAACGGCTTAGGTGGAAAAAGGATGTCATAAAGCAATATTACAACGAAGAAAAAAAATTTTTAGAGTTATATTTACGGCGCTATACGAATTTGTAGTTGGTGCCCGCCGCTGCCGCGGAAAAGTGGCCCTTATTTATCGCGTGACTGGCCCTTATTTATCACACGGTGCTTGAGCTCTTCCGGAAGCTTTGTATCGCGTCTAAAAGTAACTTGTTCATCTTTGTTTGAAGTATAACATAAAGCTAAGAATAATAGATAACTTTTAGAGCCGAAAGGAAACTCCTGAAAAAGGGCAAGCAGGCGTGATAGACCTGTGCGCCGGTCAGACGACGGCGGCGGCGCCCCGAAGCAGACGAACTTGTGTGGCGAAGGCGGCGTGGAGAAACGCATTGAAGCGGCGTTCGCACAACGCTCAGCGTGCGGCAGCAGCGTGACTTTGCGGTGGTGGCGACGCAGTGCGGCGGCGCACGGGCCTACCACGTGATCAGCCGCGGCTACTACAAATTTGTAAAGCGCCGTAAATATAGCTCTAAAATTTTTTTTTCTTTGTTGTAAAATCGTTTTATGACATCCTTTTTTCATCTAAGGTGTTTAAAAAAAATTTTTTTTTTCCTTTGCACGTGGTTTTTAAATATCTGGCGCTGCAAGAGGTAACCTGGTGTACTGCTACTGAAGAAACTCGGCCAGAAGCTGGGATGCAGAGGCATGAGCTAGATGCAGCACTCATTAGCAGATGCTTGGAAAGCACATGACCGCCTAGCAAAAAGCACAGTAGAAACAAAACCGGTTTCCGGTCCAGAATGGGAGATGGTTGCATACGCAGAAAGGCCTCAATGAATAGTGAGTGTGATCCATGTGAGGTGGTGACAAACTGTGTGTTGTTTTAGGTATCCCAGCCTGACAAAGCTTTGCCTCAAATACCTGGCACTGCTTGCCACTTCAATCCCAAATGAGGGAGTGTTTTCTGTGGCTACAGAAGTTGTTTCTGCCCAAAGGGAGAGCCTCCTACCTGACCACATGCAAGAGTTGTTTTTTTTGCGCAACAAGTTGTGACGTTCCTGTCTGCTCCAAGGACTTTTGTGTTGATGGCATGCTAGTCATGCCTTTATGAATCTTGTCAACACATCTCTGGTGTTCCAGGATACTAAAATATTGTCACGAATTAAGGCGACGAGAAAGTGAACAGTGAACTGAAAGTAAAGGTTTCATTGGCGAACTTGTGCCAAACAAAAATAAGTAAGGAAAGAGCGTCGGGGCAGTAGAAAAGCGGGCGGCGATTCGGCGGCACTACAGAGCGTTAGCGAGACTGGGACTGACTCGACAAGGTCGCGGGTAGCTGCTTATCTGCCGTGCGTCATTATCTCGAAAGTTCGGCAAAGAAAGTTCGAGCGTCGCGCGCTCGGGCGAGGATGAACTGGCACTTGCCAGAATAACAAAGCAGAGAGAAAGTTACGTCTGGTGCGAGAATGAACGGGAATCTTCTAGAGGACCGTGACCAAGCGTTGCTTTCTCGGCTCTGCGGGCAATATGAATGCTGTTGTGCATAAATCAGGGTGCCCACCAACCTGGAAAACGGGGAAAACTGGAACTTGTCAGGGAATTTGGCTGGTCTGGAAAAGTCTGGGCAGTTCCATCCCAGTCAGCGCCGGTCAGGGAAATTAAGCTGTCCTTTTGCGTGTGTTGTGTGACCAGGGCTGGGCAGTATCGCGATAGTATCTTAGAGATACTTTTGAGTACATCTGTATCTCTGTATCGAGATACATTTGAAAAAGGTATTTGTATCTCATTAGTGAAATACATTTACAATGTATCGCTTGTATTGCAATACTTTTCCAGACTTAGGTATCTTGTTACATTTGTTATCCTTCCTAAGATAAATTAAAAAGATAAAAAGAACTGTTTGGTGCAAGTTGCTTCGTAATTTACAATATTCCATCTCACTCACCAACATTAAAAAAAAAAATTGTGGTTTAAAGAAGGTTGCTAGCAAGGATAACAAAATCTCAGCTCCTCTTACAAAGCCCTCCACTCTTTCCAACTTAGCAGAGAGAACACTGTAAAGGAGTTGAGTGCAGAAAACATACGGCCCTGTTGTCCAATCTCCCCACAGTGTGGGTGACACAGATGCATATAATAGGACAGTTTAAGATGTGCCCTCACGGTAAAACAGGGTTCATTTCGGGCAGACGCCTTTTGGCAAGCATGGCACACAGCCTTTACCGTTGTGGAACTATGTGGTTCAACGGGGTGGCATGTTTCTTTTTAAGCAGTATTAATGATAAATAAAGAGTTTGAGGTAAGGAGAACAGCATAAAATGGCGCAGAAAAAGGAGCACAAGCATAAATTACCATTTGCATTCACCATGTACTACACCCTCCCCAAGTAGCACCGTTCGGGAACGAATGTAATTCTATAAGTATCTTTATCTGTATTCCGGAATACTCTTTCGTCATTTTTGCAGAAGTATCGCCGGGATATCCCTATACATAAAAGACAAATATATCTCAGTATTTGTATTTTGGCCTTAAAACACATGTATCTCAGTATTAGTGTTCCAGAATACTTTTTGGAGTACCTCTGCCCATCCCTGAGTGTGACAAATGTTGCGGGTGACTCTGCTGGTGTACTGACGCCAACCTCTGCTTGCAAACTAGAACCTGAATCGCCTCCTCTCTAAATGCATGCACCAAGGCAAACTTCTTTTCCAGTGCTCACACCAATACATTTGCCCAGTTTGACCAGTGGTTTATTTGAAAAAGGACATTTGTTAAGCAAAAATACTACCAAAGAACAGACTGACAAGGTAGCGGGATTCGGTGCCTGGTCATTGCGCCGTTGTCCATTAGATACACCAGTGTTTTCCACATAAAAACTGCACTTCATACACGTTTTCTCCGCTTAGACTTTTGGCCTGGATTTTTTAGGAAATAAGATAAACCTGGAAAATTCAAGTAATTTGAAAACATTATTTTAATAGAAATCCTGTAAATACATCTGCTTTTATCTACCGGGTATTCAAAGCCAACTATTTGGATTTGATTTGTATTCGAAAAATTTTGTATTTGCGCATCCCTTCTCCCTGGTACTGGTATGTTTCCAACAACTTCTCCCATTCCTCCTTGCACCCTTCGGTGCTACCAGAGTGGAGGACTCTTTGGTGTTCAGGAGATTCCCACCGTGGTCGAGACGCCGCTGCCACCGTACTGGCAGGAGCCGGAAGCAACCTCTTCATCACCGAGTCACCACGAGTCTCCGCAGCATCCCGGGCCCGAGGAGGATGGTTTTGAGGTGAGGCAAACTCGGGCCTGACGTTGGCAGACATTTGTCTTGATTGAGATGCCGATGCTCACTTGCATGAGCACTGTGTCCAGCAAACAAAATTGAACACTTTTACCGAAAATGCCATGCTTTCTGCGAGCGGTAAATCCTCTTAAACCTATGTTCACTTGCATGGGCACCATTTCCAGCAAACGAAACTGAGCACTTTTACCCAAAACGTCATCCTTTCTGCGAGCAGTAAATCATGTCAACCTATGTTTGAGCCAGGAAACATTGCATGCCTGAAATGGCAATGCTTATGTTGCACCTTATGTAGATGACGTACGACGTAGTAAGGTTTTGAGGCGTTACCGCATCATACGACTTCTAGGCAACGCCTCAAGCCGAACGGTGTCGGCGGGCTATGATCTTTGTCACAGGTTCGGAAAATAAAAGGTCCAAATGATCCCCATGCAAACGAAATTTATCATTTTGTTAGGGCTGCTTACTGGACGATAGGTCCACGCCCTGGTGGACGGACTCGCTGTGAGGGGGCGAAGAACGAGACGGAGACGTTGCATTTAAATAATGAACGATTTACTTGACTCACGCTCAAAACTGTAACACCAAACGCAAAAACTTACGAACACAAACCAACTCCTGCCCTTCTTGTGCGCGGCACGTTTACACACAATCAAACTCGAGGGAAAAAAAATGCACTGCTTTCCTTAGTGCGCAGGCGCTATTCACACATAAAAAGAAATAACCGACACAGCAGCGGCATTGTCCTCACTAGACACTAGACAAGAACAAGCAACCAAAAAAAAAGGTATAACACAATAATACCTCTAAATGGTATACAATTCTACGAGTGTGAGTGAGGCGAACCTGGTTCCGGAGGGTGGTGTGGGTGACACGGGCCCGTTGCGTCGCTGGTCGAAACGGGGAAGTCTGTGCATGCTTGGATGCTCTGTGCTATGCTCCTCGGCACAACATTTATCCACAAGCACGCACACTGCAGAGCCGCTCCGAGCTCTTTCCGCCTTCCGCCGCACCCACTGTCGCTCCCAACTTTTGCATCGTGTCCACCCCCGCTCCATTCTCTGCATACACTGCCTTGACTCGGCTCAAAACCAAGCCGAGGTCCTCGCTTCCCGATTTCTTTTCTTGACAAGACAACAACAACAACAACAAAAAAAAGAAACCGCCTGAGTCGGGGACAAAACAAACCGCCGCACTCCCCTCGAGAGGGGACCTGTCCCGCGGTTCCTGATTAGCAGGGGCTGCAAAACAGCACCAGCCGATGGCCCCAGCTCTCCCGCTCAACCCGCGGGGCAAGGGGCAACCGACGACCGGAAGCGCTTTCTTAAGGGGGGACACTGGCTAGAGGTTGAACTTTTGAACTATTCAAGTGATCGGAATGAAACTAGCAGGGGAGATTTAACTTCAGATGTAGGTGTGCTGTGCAAACTTTCAGCTCTCTAGGGCAACTTTACATACCTGCATAAGAAGATGTGTCACTCTTCGTTAAGAAATCTATGATATGCAAAGGAAGCTATTATGCACCATTTTAAGTGCTTGAGTATAAAGTGGGGGATATGGGACTTCGGGCTATCTAGTTTTTATAACTTAAATGTAAATATTTCAGGAAGAGTGATTACCTCAAAATATGAGATGCATATCTGTCCTATGTCAATTTTTGAAAACATAGTTTTTTCTCAATGAGGACTTTAATGTAATACAAAATAAAGTAGATAGCCCAATTCCCCAGTAAATTTCAGTTCAGAAACATCTTGATTGTGGTATCAGAATAATTTTACCTTCAAACAAAAGATTCCTTCGTATGAAATTTGCAGCAAAAAGTGGAACTGAGAAAAATGCATTCAAACATTGAACTCCTTTACTTTGTTACTGCCTCGCAATATGCTGAAAATACTTTATATCAACGGAACTATTTGGCGCATGGTTATGAAATTTAGAGTAAGGGTGTATAATTAGTTTCTAAAACTGAAAACCTCAAAATTGAAAAATGAATTTTTTCAAAAAATTTTGAGGCTCAGGCCCATGTCCTACCTTAAGAAAACCCCGAACAAAAAGAAAAAAAAATAGTTGAATTCTGTGACAGTCTTCTCCTTCTTCAATCTCCTTAGCCACCGGTCTTGCCTTCGCTTGCCTTTGGTGGGAAAGCTTTTCAGAGAGTTTGCTCTTCTCTGTTGTTCTCTATTTGCGTCATTCCATGCGTGAAAATGCTGGTGAGAAAAAACAAACTTGCCTTGCCCTCACTCTTTCTCATTTCGCTTTTGCTCCCTACTCCCTCCTTCTCTGCCTTTTCTTTTTTATAACGTCGTGCAAGGTCCTAAACATCGCAACACGTACAAGGGTGATTAAAAAATTATCCTCACTCTAGCTGTAAATGTTAATTTAATCGAAACCTTTCCAAAGCCCAGTTTGTTGTGGATTATTGCACAGGCAAAGCATTGGTTAAATTGCAAATGTTTTGTCAGATCATCCACCTTCGCTAGTCTATTTGAAAGAATTGATTCTCGTGCAAGCTCAATGTCGTCGTTTGTCGTGGACATGGACGAGCACCCACTTCCTTCCTTATGGCTGTACCAGCCATAAGGAAGGAAGTGGGTGCTCGTCCATGTCCACGACAAACGACGACATTGAGCTTGCACGAGAATCAATTCTTTCAAATAGACTAGCGAAGGTGGATGATCTGACAAAACATTTGCAATTTAACCAATGCTTTGAGGAAGCAAGGAAGGACGCACCAGTACCTGGTGCGTCCTTCCTTGAACATCTGTATTCATTCAAATACACTTCTTTGCAACAAAACGCTTCCTTCATTCTCTGTACAAAGTCTTCAATAAATATCGGCTCCAGGCACGCTCTTGGACCACAAAAACAGTCGCTTCCCCACTTGTGCAAATCTTCAAGTGAAGCAGCCATTGTTTCTCGCTCTTGAGTCGCAATCAAACTGATTTAACTTACTCAATCCTAGTACACAGCAGTGACTGGAGAGACGACTTTGTGCGAAAAGTACTGATAAGACAGTGCGGCCAACAGAATTTGTAAAGGAGACATGCAAAGGAAAAAAACATATTTTTTAAACAGATTAGATGGAAAAAGGATGTCATAAAACGATTTTGCAACGAAGAAAAAACAATTTAGGGCTATATTTACAGCGTTATACGAATTTGTAGTGGGCGCCCTCAGGCGCCTAAGAAAAGTGGCCCTTATTTATCATGTGACTGGTCTTTATCACGTGGTGCTGCGCTCTCTCGGAAGCTTCCTATGACCTCTAAAAGTAACTGATTCATCTTTGTTTGAAGTATAACAAAAAACTAAGGTTAATTATCTTTCACCTCCTTTTCGGGGAGTTGGGCAAAGGTGTCTGATTGAGAATCATAGTCTGAAGTGCGATTCCTACTGAACTGCTTGGTAAATCTCTCATTTTACAATTAACTATTCCTAGGTATATGAGCATATGATTAGGATGCAGTGCTCTGGGAGTTTATATTTTGCCAAAAATTTGGAGTTTATCAAAGTTTGTTTTTGTTTTATTTCCAATTCTCTGAAATTCAGTTTAATTTCAGTTTCCTGTTAAATAAATAAATAAATAATGTGCAGGTGTAAACATATGCTAGATACAAACATAGAATGTGCTTGTATCAATTACTATTTCTTCAGCTGGATTTGGAGTTGGTGCCATTACTATTGGCAATTAGAATTTGTCCCATGACAAATGTTGCACACAAGGGTCGCTTGAACAATTGTCTGTACCTTAAAATCTATAAACTCCCGGAGGTAGTCGCTGAGAAGCTCTTATTCATACCATCTTATTCCATCAACCTACTCCACGGCCACACGAGGGGGAGTGGTAGAGGATCTAATAGAAAAGTCTCAACTGCCTCTCTTATTTATTTTATGCAATCTCTATGGTCCATAGCTTTCACAGTTGCAAAAATGCAACCTCTCCTTTTTCTAAAGCACATATGGTATGGCCCTAACTGAAAACCAAAACAGTGGCTTTTGTCATGACCTTTTAGTACATAGACCTGGGCCCGTTTGCTCGAAGCACTAACCGCGGCTAAAGTTAACCGCAGTACCTAGGAGAGGGATTTTGAGATCACGTGACTGGCTCGGTAGAGACGCGGGGAAACATGGCGGTGCCCCAGTGAGTGAGCACCGCTCGCTTTGGAACTAATATGTAGTTGTAGCTGCAATATCGGGCGTGTTAGTCAGCAACGAATAATGCAGGAGGCTTTCGCTTTGTCTTACCTCACTTAAACCGCAAAGCATGGTCGATGACATCGCCGAATTTTTTAGATAGTGTTTCAATTCTGGGCATTCCTAAGCCTAAATGAACGCGATAATTGTCGGCATGGCAACGGAAATTTACACGGTAAAAAAGACCGTGTAAATTTTCTTTTTTGACACCCTGTATATCCCGAGGTAGTAATAAACGGTTCCCTGTAATTTGTTTCCGAAAAAGTGTAATACATTCGTGCAATTTTAATTTAAAGCTCACAAGAAACCAAAACCCAAACCTTGTCTGCGGCAGGCAAAATTGCTCCTGTGTCATCACCTACATGGTCTAACCACGTGGTACTAATCGGGACGTCATGTATAAGGCGGCCAAACGCAGCTCAGCGCAATTGCAAAAGTGTCCTCTGCTACGATCGGCAGACTGCTATGCTACACCCGACAACGCCTGTGCTGCTGCTGACGATGCTTGTGTTTTAGTGCAGAGGAAAGCAAGTTTTTCTAAGGGCTTGTTTTGAAAACATTAGTAAAAAGTGAAGTTCAGTAAACTACAAGTAAATATCTTGTGATGGGTTTGTAGAACCATGCCATGCTCAATGCTGCAAACTGGCTCTCTTGCACACAACGAATGCTGTTGGCGATGAGGCATGCTCTCACGGAAGAACACAAGTGCTTGCGCATTTCGTGAATCATGTGACCAATGGCAAGCGTGCTGTCAGTGCCGCAGTAGGCTTTGCTTGAAAGAGTACACAACAGGCAGACAAATCTCCCCGAGCACGAGTTAAATAGCGCAGGGTGGGCCGTGCCGACACGACGGTATTGAATGCGCTGTTGGCTATGCCTCGCCTCGCCTGCTGGGATTAGCAGTTTTTGCTGATTTCGCAACCGTAAACGGAATTAGATAGAAATATTTGGCGTGTGCTCTTTCTAGGAGATACTAAAATGAACTGCATTGTTTTCTTAATATTGAAAATGAACCGGAGTTGCCCTTCAATTATGAAAAAACATGTTGTCTATATGCCTGCTATGGACTGTGTATGTTTCACGTTGCACTGGCCTGCATTTAACTCTTTATTGTCACCCTCGAGAGTAACACTTCGTGCACGAAATTCAGCCCTAAAACACATTCTGCGTCAAAACTCTGGCGTCAAACTTCACCGAGCGTGCCCGTGCTGCGTCACTTCCGTCGCAGTGGGTCACCGCTGAAGACCTCGAGTTCTCGGGCGCCAGAGAACCCCCGGGCAACGGTGAACCCGGGCCGCACAGTGCCAGCGAAGAGCAGCCAGCGGGTGCCGGCGGAGGGGCGTGCTCGAGTGGTGGGAGTCCCCAGGCGACTGTGGGCAGCGAGCCGCAGCAGGCCTGCCTGTGCCTCGACCAGTTTGAGAGCGAGGAGGAGCTGTCGAACCTGTCGGTCATGCAGATGAAGCTGCTGCTCACCCGCAGCTTCGTCGACTACCGGGGTTGCTGTGAGAAGTCGGAGCTTCAGGAGAAAGTTGTCTGGCTCTGGAAGCAGAGGCGCAAGCAGCGGATGCAGGGTCAGTGTGCTCTTCGCTTCGCTTGCTCAGACTCGCCGGATTTTCGGTTCCTCCCAGCTCTTGCTTATTTCATTTGGCCAAGTTAGAGGGGTACTCTGACCGTTTTTTGAGCTTTCCGAACAATGGCATTTTCTGAATACCCGGACATCAGTTCTTACAATACGCCATTTATTGTCTTGAAATTCAAAATGGCTATTGAGCAAACCATAAATGAAGGTGATGCCGAAACCAACATTGGAACTTCCGTGCTCTGTCCAGTGGCGTGACGTCACAAATGTGTAGAGACTTTCGGGTTGCATAGGTACTGTTAAACGAACTAGGTTGAGCATTCTTTTGTGCTTCTCAGTGAATGAGCTTCCAAGCGTTCTTTTCCCACCATAAAACTTCTTTTAATCGGTTGGGAACGTGGTTTGCAACCTACCGTACTTTGTACCGTTTCTGTCCTCGCACTTCAGTGTTGCCAGCAGGGGCTCTCAGTTTGAGAAACGCAATGAAAATAAAATTCGAATGTTTAATAACTTTATGAAAACTTTTTTGTTTTTTTTTCACATAATACTTGGGGGATTTGTACAGCTGCGTTCATCGGTGTGCTGAGGCAATTTTGAGGCAAATCAGCGACCGTAAGAAAATCTCTGGAGTACCCCTTTAAGACACTGCGGTGCAGTTGGATGTCGGCAAAGAGTGGTTTGTCTACAGTGTCTGGAACTCGTCTGAGACTGGTGTGTTCACCGCATCCTCGAATGTGGTCCATCGATTTTCGCCTGGCGACATCGTAGAAGTGTTGTGTTGTTGCCTGCCGCAATCCTGGCTGGCGTTGGCATGTCAGTAGAGCTGGATTTGGGAGACACCCGTTCTGCTGCAGGTATCTAGTTTGAGTCCACAGAGCTTCAGCAGCCAGGAATTGGGATGCTGCGACGACAACGACACTTGCATTTCTTCGTACGTTCTGCCAGAACTTCTGTTGCCAGGACCATGACATGCGACAGCTTGGCACGTTGGCTCTTGTCACATAGTCTGTTGCTGCTTTGGGACTTTGAATTCATGGGCAATATAAAACTCTAAACACGCTAGTCACGTGTTACAAGCTTCATAGTCTTGCTTTTATTTTTTGTGCCTTAGTCCTTTAATTGTTTTCGTGCCATCAAAAATTTGGTTGATACCGGAGAAACCGGGACAGGCATTGATGTGACGCCCTTTTGCGCCTATTCTTCACATGGCTTCGTACAGTCGATACTTGATAATTCAAAGTTCATGAAGACAGTGAAACAAAAAATTTAGTGAACTTTGAATTAAAAGAAACACACCCAAACTGAGCTTTTTTTTGTTCATTCAGTACTCACCTGGGAGAACTTGTTGATTTTCGGGTACAGATTCAAGAGGCATCACACTATGCTCGAGCAGGAGGAAAGAAAGAGAGAAAAAGGAAGAAGAGAGAGTGAGAGCGAGGTTGAAAAGTGGGCAAAACCCTTAAAAATTTGTTCAGAAAAGAAAAAGAGGGAAAACCTGGAAATGCTGCTTGTCCTGTGTCCCCCGCGCTCGGCGGAATGTTGCAGTGATTACTCTGTGGTCGGGAAAACTGTGCAAGATCCCCCCCCGCTTGCTCCAGGACATAATGTAGACGTCCTGGAGCAAGAGAGGAGGAGAGTGAAAACATGGACAGAACGGAACTAACCGAGCAATGCCGCTCGTCCTCTTGCAGGGGACGAGGTGGTGGAGGAGGAACTGTGCAAGATCTGCATGGAAGGCTGCGTGGACTGTGTCATCCTGGACTGTGGTCACATGTGCACATGCACCCAGTGCGGCAAGCAGCTCAGCGAGTGCCCCATCTGTCGGCAGTATGTGGTGCGCGTGGTGCACGTCTTCAGAGCCTGACCCTCGACAAGGGCCGCACTTCGCAAAGGCCACATCGACCTCAAGCCTTGTCCCCGTGATTTGGACGTGGCAACGGGCTAGCGAACGTGCTCGCACGCCTCGGTGCCTGTCAGGGCCTACCCTCTGACATTGCTCTTCTGCTTTGAAAATGGGCGAGAGCAGCCTCATGGCACCTACTGTTTGCTTGCAGTGGTGAGCTGCTGTCTCGGGCAGGACTCGTGCGATTTCAGATTAAACTCGGCACTAGCAATGCAGTGTGGTCTCCTTTCCTTTAATCCTTTGCCCTGCTCCTTGTATATTTGACTTTGTGGGCCTGTGTGTGCATTAAATAGTTTGTTCCTTTTTACTTTGAAGGTGTCTATTATTCTTAATTTCTCAGCAAGACGTACACAGCGGAATACAGTTGGCGCGAGCTTGAGATTGGCGCCCCGTTTCACTGAAAGAAGTGCTGACAAATGCCAATATTGCTGCCTAGGTTGGTGCCCAAGTTGACCACATTCCTCAACATCTAGTCTTGATGACACTTTCAGTTTTAAGACTGCAAGGGGAGAATGATATTAACGACCTCACAAAATGTGCTACAGTAGACAGTGGTAGCTGTTGCGTTGTTGGAAGATGTCCTTTAGGAGATTTGCTTTCAGTAGACAGGTTGGGCACTTTGCCCTTTAGCAAGGCAGACCTGCATGTTGCAGTCGTTTATACTACAATGCAATCCAATATCATATAACAATGTATCGCTTATAATGATCAGCTAGTCCAGATACAACAATAATCAGTTATAACAAGTAAATTTTTGGGTTTTCTCATTATTACTTTAAGTGGATCGCACTGTACATTCGTCCTAGATGGGCAAATATTGGATCAGAGTGCAAATCTGCTTAGACTGCGAGCACATCAGTTGTCGGAAACCACAACCGGTCATACAGGTCAAGAGATGGCAATAATGGCATTACTGTAAGGAAATTACTTTTTGCTGTAATAAGTAATGTAATGCATTACTTTTCTACGCAGGTAATTTAGTAATGTAATGAATTACCTTCAGGCAATAGTTTTGAGGGAATTATTAATTACTCACGTAATTACTTTTTTCCGAGGTCCATCTGAGAACAAAATCTGGGACGCGGGAGTCAGAAGCGAGACGCACACAGACAAGGTCAAAAGGCGAAGCGGATCAAGCCACGGATCACGAAACTCTAGCCAAGATGGATTCACAGCGAAAAGTAATCGGAGACCGTTCCAGGCTGCAATGTGGAGGGCATGTCGCTAAAAAAATAAATGCATTTCAAAGCCTGCGACGAGGAGTCGGGAGTTAATTCTAAATCTCTTGCCAAGGATCCTGAACTTCGCATGAGTTGCCTTGTCCTTCATAGGTGAAGACGCTTCTTGTATGTCCCATTCACCGCTAAGCTAACAGGAAGATGAAAGCTGCGCGCTTGCTGAAGCAGTTGTGCGTCTACCTTTTTGCCACGCCAATGCATAGAGTTATTATAACTATGCGCCAATGCACGCGCAGAGCGCGAAGTCCGGTGATGAAAGGGAGGCGATTCACTGCTCCGACAAGCGCGGAGTTACCACCGCACTGTCAGCTTAGGAGTAACAGATTTCAGCTTCGGTCCGAGCGCGGCCGATGTTATGAGCCGAAGGGCCAATCGAACAGCCCAAAAAGCGCAACCTCATGGCGTGCTCTCTGCGCTTGAGTAGCCGATGGAGGAGCTCCTTGGCAGAGACTCAGAGAGACGGCGAATACCGGTTGGTCCTATCAACTGCAGAGAGCACGCCATGACGTTGTGCCTCTTTCGCTGTTTGATTGGCCCTTCGGCTCTTACCATCGGGCGCGCGGACCGAAGTTGAAACGAAGTAGTGACAGTAGTGAGTCAGGTGCCGACGCGAGCCTTGCTTAGACTCCGCAACAACTTTTCTTGGCGCAGTGGAAGGTACAGGCCCGCGTCCCCTCTCCCATTTTGAGTGTGCGCGGGCGGGCTCTCCTCCTCTCCCCAGAAATGGGAGAGAAGGAGAGCCTGCGTACACTCGAAGTGGGAGAGGGAACGCGGGCCTGTACCTTCCACTGCATTGCTAAGAAAAGTCATTAGGGTCATAGCAGAGAGGGAAAAAGAGAAAAAAAAAATGCACTCCCCCTCTCACCCCGCACGTCGTCCGCTCCGCCGAGGGGGCTGTAGCTAGCGTCCGGCTGGCGTGCAAACTCTGTTTAAAATCGCGTCATTTTGGAACTTTCATGCGCAGATTTTGGTATGCCAGTTGTCGTGTAATATTATGCTAGATAAAAAGACCCACAGGGTCCAATTGCGCTGTTACCTGCGTGCAAATAATAAAAAAAAAAAAAAGAAAAACGGAAAATTGTGTTAGATTGGCCGGTCTCTTTGGCGAAGAGTAAATCCGGTTGCTGTACCTTTTTTACTATACAAAAGTTCGTACTGGTGTGGGCCTTTAGCGACCATGAGTGGAAGTCTGAAATAATAAATAAAACGTGCTCTCCTGTCGCAATACAAGCAGTAGTTGAGGGTAGTACTGCCGGCTGACTCAACTGCTATTTAAGTAACGGAAAAAATATATGCCAGTTGATCATTTAGCAAAACAGAACAACAGAGAGCTATAGGATAATTTTGGAGTAGCCACAACTATTCTAAGAACGCGAACCATTTCACAACGGCAGCTACGGTAGAGAGTTCGATGTTCCGTACAGCCCGCCGATACAGCCCAAAGATGGAGAACGGCAACCTCCCGGTTTGTCGTCTGCTAGCGGAGTCGGGCGCGTGCCCTCTCTCTCGTTTTACCCCGCCGAACCCGCTGAGCTTCCCGGGTGCGTGGAGAGGGCGCTGCGGTCGAGCAAAATGGTGCCGCCCAGAGAGCGCTAAATGGAATCGCAATGCCAACGCCCTATAGGTGGCGGGGTGGTAGTTCCAAGATGGCGGAAGAGACGGGGATAGATTCTCCAGGATATCCCGTGCGCCTGGTCGCGCTGACGCTGTTCAGCGCGCTAAAAATTATTTACTATTCTACAAATGCGAAACGGTTAGCAAGGGATCATATTACAGGTGACTGAGATGCTGGTGCACGTTAGGAAAACGAGCATGCTGTTATTTAAAAGTTGCAGAAACCTCAAATTGCGAAGCTTTGGGGTGAGCGAGCGCGTTTTAGGCACCGGCCACGTTACTGTTTGTGGCAGCTAGAATACTTTTGAGGGCGATGAAGATATGTTTGCGGCTTTCCCTGGTCATTAGTGCTATAAAAAGTGAGCCGCGCACAATGACCGTCAAGCTTCAGAAGAGCAGCGTTCACAGTATTGGTGTCTTCGCGACACTGGCTCACAACTCGTTGCTCGCCGTCTCGGTGTTAGTGTATTGCAACGCGTAATCAAACTGCTATATGGTTATCAATAGAAAGTTTGTTACTGCAGGCTACCGTGCGGTGTAGCATTACAACCGCAAGCTCGTGCTGTGCCTTTGAAGCACAATTTTCAGTGCGCGCCAGGAGCGTTGCCGTGCTCATCACTCTAAAAAAAAAATGTTGTAGTCTTTACACTTCTTGGCACATATACGACGCTTCAAAACTTCAGTTCGCCGTGCAGCCCACTGACGTCAGACTGACGGCCCCAACTTTTACGAGAGGCTTGATGACGGCGCATTATAAGATATTAAACAGCTAAAGTACTCATCAAAGAGTATCGAAAAAACAAAACAACAACAAGATTTTGCAGTAGGGCCAAGAAAACCCCGACTATTATTATTTTTTAGTCATTCAGACTTATTTCGATTATTTTAATAAGTTGCACAACTCGGCTATCAGGCCGCTCGTGAAAGTTGATAGCTACGGTTGAACGTCAGTGCGCTGTACGTCAAACTGAAGTTTAGGGGTTTCGTACGCTCTGCAAAAACTGCCTATTAACATAATTAGCGTGTTTAGGGGTTTTATTTATTGCTCTATCAAAAATAAATATTTTAATATACCGTACATTTTTTGTACCGTGTTATTTTTAACGTTGCGGTCCCTCTGGCCAAAACTGCGCGCTCTAAGCTCTCGTCACAAACGGCCGGCTAACACAGACGCGCTTAAAATGCTTCGAGCCTATCTTTATTTGCTTTGTAATCACTTGAAAGCAAGTACGGTATTCTGTCTTTTTGAAGTGCTTGGAATAAATGGGTCACGTTCCTTGTAACGGCCTTAAAACGCGAACCCATTCCCGACTTGTATTGCTCGACATACCGTTGCGCGACGAGTTTGCTCCTACTTATGGCAAAGAATAGACTTTCCGTAGACAGTACTATACAGTTCTTCATTATTAGCGGGAGCGTTTTCCGTCACGTTAAGCACAGATTGAGCTGGCGGCCATGCACAAGACCAGAAATCCGCAGCGTATGCGATACACGAAAAGTCCCTAATGAAATTAGACCTCCCGGTCCTTTGTGCAAGGCTGTTGCAAGGCGGAGCACAAGAATTCCTTTCTTAAAGCGCTCACTTTTTACGTTAAAACGGCTTCACGCATCAAAGCCGACAGTCCCTGCCACCGTTTCCGCGCCGCCGCCGCCGCCGCCGTCCCCGCTCCTCTGGTTCTCCGTTCGTCCGCGGGAGGGCGAGCGGCGCGCTGGAGTTGCGCATTGCTGTGAAGCGGCTAGTGTGGAAAAATCCCGGATGTATGCGGTGGCGCTGCGGACGTATGGGCTGGACGAGCTGGAGGATCTGACTGGTTCCGAGCGTTCCGAAGGCCCTCGGCGAGCAGGTATGGCTTGCAGTTTTCGGTTTGGCAGCGCGAAGTGGCTCTTGTTCTTAACCAATCTTTACCCCGTATTACCCGTGTCTGCTGTCGTTTATGGCCAATGAAGTGCCATGCTGAATCGACGTCAACAACGCCACTGCTTTGCTCCGAGGTGCCACGCAAGCTATCGGTGGCGGACAGGTGAGCAGCCGTCACTGTTCTCGGTACCTAAGGAGGAAGAACAAAGAAAAGTTTGGGAACAAAACTTGCATCGCAAAAATAAGCTCCTAAACGAAATGTGTTCGGTGTGTGAGCTTCATTTTGAGCCATCGTTTATAGCGCAAGACTTTGTTCACATTATAAACGGAGAAGAGATGCGCATTCTGTGTGGAAAGTCCGAGCTTTTGCCGCTTTTGCTGGGCGCTGTGCCGACGTTGCTTCCGAATGCTCTCAACTACCTATCAAAAAAAAAAAAAAAAAGTGTCGCAGCCAAGGTTATTGAGAAAGCGAAAGAACGCCGATGCTTCCTCAGTTGACGGTAAAAGAAGGCCAAACACTGCCTCTTTACTTCACTTTTATGCAGACTTGTACGTCAGGCGTTACAAGTAATGGATTACTTGTAATCGATTACATTTTACTG